CTTCAGCAACAAACAGTCGCAAAACAAGCAATCACTGTGTAATGTCAGCAATACTCGTAAAAACTGTCTGCGAAATATCAATTACTGAAATATTGCTAAGTAGTTGATGCTGATAAAGTTGGCAGTGATGAAAATGCAATATTTTTGTTCCACTTACAACACTTGTGGCAAAGTTTAAGCTGCTGCAACTTTCAACATAGCCAACTGCAGCAATAAATTAGAAGATTGATTATTAAAATTTCTTGCTCTTCCTGCAAAGAGGATTATATGCGAAAGTGCAACAAATTGCTTTGAGTACTAATTTTGTTTCGAAAGCTTATCTGGATAAAATTAACATGTTTTAAAACTCAATAAATAAATCAAGACAGCAACAAAACGATGTTTAAAATTTAATTCAAATTTTATTACAATTATCCTTTGAAGTGAAACTTTTGCTTTGTTGCTACTGCAAGCAAACTAATTTAATTAAATTTATTTTTGTTCGCTGCAAGAGCAAAGTAGGTGTGTACTTCGAGTATATATTTTTGCAATTTTATTGCTTAGTTTTATGAGTGTCGTACTTATTTCCTTCGTTAGTTTATGCTTAGCTGCCAACAACAACAATCGCAAAAGTCAGCAGGAACAAACTACGGGTACGACAACAAAAATAATATTAAAATCACGATAATAACAAAATACTAAAAGGGATTGCTGCTGGCAAAATTTACATCAAATAAATTATCGCTATTGTCAACGTTGCTGTAGCAGCAATAATACTCGTAGCACCAACAATATTCACAACAAAAGTCATAGCAATGCCCAAGCAACACACAATACAACAACGACAACAGCAACAACAGCAGCAGCAGCAATAGCAATAGCAATATCACTAACAGCATTTTCTCATTGCTTTCAGCTATGCGATATGCTATGCTGTCTTGTTACGCGATTTTTCATGGTCCAGTAAAACTGACACAACAAGCAGCACCAATGTTCATGCCTTGGCATAAAAATTAATGCCAGTAAGAAAACAACATTGAGCAAGAAGCTATCAAGGATACTTCACCAAAGCTACCAAAGCTACCAAAAATCAAAAACAGCAACAATTGCTGTAGTCACTGAGCCGTGCCTTTCTGCGTTATGTAAAGCAGTAGTTCCCATGAGAAAATCTCAAAATTGAGCATAAGTGACAGTCGTAAAGTGACTGACGCATTTTATAACTCAAGTGGAAATTTTCTTTGTATTTGTCGTATGTGTCAACATGTCCTTTGAAGAAACTTCAATGCTTCACTTGGCATTTGTTTGTGATGTACTCGGATACGGCATATTTTTCCTAAATTTTGGCTTAATTAAATGTATCAATGTCATCTGCATATATGCATGAATTTGATTAAACACTTGCGGGAATCAAACGACTGGATTGCAAAATATTCTTTATTGACTTGATAAGATAATATTTACTTTCTTACTTAATTCGCCATAATAACTCGTTATCAGATTTCGGTCTGATGCAGCACTCCTTCCCAAACTTATCTGCTGCAGACACCCAAATGTATGTCAGGCAGTTAGTGTTCTCTCCCTTATTCCTTCAACTGCCGCTTTACACTTCCTTTGCAGGTATCTAAATAGTTATTATGGTTATACTATATGTTTTTGTTCAATTCAACTAGTCTACAAACTGTTTTCGAAGACAAAATTTACATTATCTATAGTGAAATTTTCCGTAGAACTCGAAAATCAGAATGTATATCGTTTTTTCGTTATTTGCGAAAAACCATTGTTTTGATTTTTCTCAAAACATAATCACTCTACATATGTCCCCGAAAGTTTTTATTGTCAACATAGAACATATATTATACATCAATGTTGTGCGAATAAGTTACGCTACGTAGGTTCAATGTGACCGAACTGGTTTAGTTGCAATAGTTAAAAATGTACAGATGAAAAAAATTTTTTTCACACTTTTCACAACTCTTTTGATTTTTAATGTGATGGAGTTCCTACAAAAATATTAAAAACAAATTTTTTTTGAAAGGGTTCGAATAGAAATGCAAAGACAACAACAACAATTTTTTTAGTTAATTTAGTTAATTTGAGTTTGGCTGACCATACAACACTGTTTCGAGTATTGCCAAGTACTAACATAATCATCAGTGGTCTGATTTTTATCAACGTCGAACGTTTATCTGTATTATATTTATATATCATATTGAGGTACATGTGCATTTTCGGCAAAGTTCTTGCAAAGCATTAGATTTATTTCTCTTATAATTGTAAAATAATAATTTCTCAAAATGCTTGCATCCACTATAACTTTTTTGATCTTCTTTCCATTGGAGAGATATTCTGATGGAACCTTTCAGCTTGCTTATTACTTTCTGCAAAGAAATTTGAAAAGAAAAATAGCTGCAACAGCAGCTAATCCGCTCAAAATTTTTATGATTAAATGTCAGAACCAATTCGAGCCTTATTGATATTTAATTGTTTTCCGTTCATCTAAATCCAGATTTAATAAAATATTTTTACCGACTCTTTCTTTATTCCTATCTCATACTGCATCAATTTCTACATCATATCTCATTGTTTAAATTTTGTCATCCTTTTTTGTATTTAATTTTAATTTCAGCGACGATTATAATAACATAAAATAAATGAACGACAACAGTAGTTCTATTGATAAGGGAATGAATTGATCCTACAGATTAGGAAATGGAGTATTATCTTAAAGAGACTGACAGTTTTTTCTATTGAAAAATAAACTTAAGATAGCTAAACTTCCGATTAAGGGCTCTCGTATTCAGACAATGATAAATGTGACGAATGGTCACGGCAATTTTAGGCGCATGTTATGCAGAAAGTCATATTTTTTTATTTTCTCTTAAAATGAGACTAACAAGTTGTAAAATCTTATTACTAATTACATAATTTTACAAATTTTTATTTTAACTATATATTGCATAATATAAAATAAAATAAGTAAACCATATGAAGACTATACTTCACGGGAGTAAACCTTATATCACGGACCTCACTTAGATTGGTGGGTTGAATATCAGTGGAATGAGTGTGAGGTGGATTATTAAGAAATTAAATTAACTTTGTGAAATTACTACAAATAAGAGAGAGGTATTTACCTCAATCTATTGAATTTTAATTTATGACTGGACGGTGAGCTCTTTTTAGGCAGGAAGTACTGGTTTGAAATGCAAGTTTCTTCGCTAAGGGGTTAACATATTCTGTCAGCCTTTTATTGTATTTTTTTCTTGTATTGTCAAAGAGAGAGAGAGAAGAGAGAGGAATTTTAATTAATACGACTAATTATAAAAAATTGTTTGCCTTTTTTTTTAAATCAAAAAGTGTAAAATAGGCGGTTTATAAAATTGGTTGTATTGCTTTTAGGTATTTTTTCTCCAATATGTATTGAAATTTGTTTCCAAAAGGTATAAATGTTGACATTTATCACTGAGCAACACCGTTTTGACCAATGTGACAAGTTTCATCACAAAGTCTCGTCACCATGACCAAATTTAAATCGATATTTTTTTTTTGGTCTCACTCTCTATGACTTTTTGCAAAACATGACAATAAACAATCAATTGCTTGAAATGTAGAAAACGCAGTTCTTTTGGTCAAATGAACAAGGATGCAGAGCAATATCAACTGACTACGTTTACAAAGTTTGCGGTATACTAGTTCCTATTTGTTACGTATATATCTTTTCTTTAACTCTTTATAGACAACTTTTATTAAATCTTTGAAATCTAATATTCTAATCTGATAATTAAAATACAGATACAGATACAGATTTCCCAAATTTTGGAATCATTCCTAATTTCCTAATTTGGCAGATAAATTTACGGTAACTCATGACAGACAGAATTGTCACATAAATTGTACCAGCCACTCAGTTATTTAAATTATAAAAGCTTACTACCTTTATTTTCGCATCAGTATTAGAAAAAATTATTCCAGGTAATGATTGATGACGTTAAAACTTCGTATATTGATAAAAGATGACTTGGACTGTCTGATGATTTACCTATTACACATATTTTGGATTCAGTTTTATTAATTATTTACTTTTAGGTTGATTCAATCATATTGTATTTATAGCTGGTTTATTTTTGACTATATATAATGGAATATATGTATTATTACATATTATAATACATATAATAATATTTTAAGCTACCTACTTCAAAGAGGTAGTCAATGTCGTATTCATTCGCTCTAAAGTACAAATTTACTAATATACAAATTTAGATATCTTGGGAATCAAGCAAACATAGATTGAAGCCACTCCTTCAATATCTGGTTAGTATTATAAATCTGAATTTTTTCCAGTTTACTGAATTTAAAAAGTATTCAAAAAATGTTAACAAGGACTATACGGTTCCCACAATTAACACCAAAACAATGATAAAAGAGTTAAAAATGAAGCAAGAAAAAGAAGCAAATGCAAAGTTATTGGAACTAAAAAGAAAACCTGATGTAGACGATACCTATCACACTCGACTATCGGAAGACTTAAAAACTGAGAAGCATCCTGGACGAAAACAATACCTTCAACTGCTTAAGGATATAGCAGAAGTGCTGAAACAAGAAATTGTGATCCAAGCTGAACCAGACCCCGAGAAAGACACAAAAATTAAAGCGATTTATACCGAACTAAAAGAAGACTTAAAAAGTATTGAGTCTTGCATGTCTTCACTATGAAGTTCGGAATGCTCTTTCAATATCTGGTTAGTATTATAAATCTTGTTAACATTTTTTGTTAAAATATGTAAATATAATATGTTATATTATTCTTAAGTAGTTTACGGTTTCTAATTGATATTTCTGCTGACTCGACTGCTATACTCTTGTATTTCTGCCTGCTATAATTGGTCTGCAAAGGCTGCGGCTTATATAACTACTAAGATTATTGATATTCTCTAGGAATGAAGATTTATGATCAAATGTAACATAGCACTAATTTTAAGACAAATCTCTGAATTTTTTCGAAAACACAATATCCAATATTAATGTTAAGTTATTGTTCTGTATTTTGTTCATCAAGATTATTTATGAAAAGAGAAGTAAAAATTATTAAAACTAATATTTTTACTAATCTTTTCATAACTAATTTGCTAAACATAATTACATATTGACAAGAAATTTTGTTACATTATTGCCTTAAGATTAAAATTCATATTATATATCTGAGAACGCGCATAGGACCACATATGATAATAACTTCGTAATTTCTTTAATAGTGCACATTATCATATATAGAGTGGTAAATTATTATATTTTGTTCCATGATTTTTTGTCTTCTATCTTCCCAATCGGATATTTTTTGTTTCATTTCAGGTACCAGGGAACCAATTTTTAAACGATCTAATTCCGGGCCATCGCGCAAATCAACCTGTGTCTGGAAGTTATAATCCGGTGTGTAACCGTTTAGAGCCAAGAAATAGTCGAAGTAAAAAGGAGTTACAAGTTCTGCATCAATAGTTTTAACAATTCTAAGTCCTGCGCTTTGGCGATATCCTGTTTGAGTGTCAGAATTAAATGCACGAATTAAAAATTTCTCCCTTTCAGTCGTTACTTTTTTTTGTTTGGGAGCTGATTCCTCTTCTTTCTTCTTAAATTTTTTTAATACATATTTTTTAAGTGGTCGTGGTCTTGGAGGAAGTGGTTCAAAACTTCTCTTTAACGATTTCAATTGAGCTTGCAGCCTATTCTCGAATTGACACGCCTCTCGCGATATTTTTTTCATTTTTCTCAACTTTTTTCTGAAATCAAGTTCAGTTTGTTTTGCAAAATTAGGTGGAAACTCATCGATTTTATCTGAAAATTTATGAAAAATCGCACATTTAATGAATTTTTAATTGTATATTATATATAATGCTTTACCCAAGAGATCTAATATAGTATCTGAAATCATCGACACCATTTGTCTTGGTGGTATGGCTGCTCTCGCGCCACGCTTCTTATCAGAAACTTTTATTTCTACAATGTGTTGCCATGCATGCTCTATATAGGCTTGGTCCTTTATCTCACGTTCATTCGTGAAGACTTCATATATGTTGTTGTCAAGAAAATTCATCACCCGCGATCTTAAGTCTTCAACTCTACCTTTCATGAAATATTTTCTAGCACACTTGCGAGTTACATGCTCCATTTTAGTCTGAAGTTCATTATCGCACCATTCTGTTAATTTATGAACTTGTGATTGTAGATCGACTGATATTGTCATGTTTAAATGCAACTCAAGCAGTGCTATAAAAGTTATCTTCTTCAATTTTTTGATGCCACAGAATAAATCAATATGATCTTTGTATGGCATGAGGATTGGAATATTTTTGGGCTTGTACACATTTTCGTAATAGTCCTTAACAGCTCCTGCATCATCTTTCTCTCTTACTCGAATGTTAGCGGTATTGCGGTTTTGTATAGAAACATCGAACGTTTCCAGTTCAATTGGTTCTCCTGGCTTGCTTTTGCGATGTATCCAATCGTTTTCAAGACGCCATTCTTTATCTGCTAATAGGTATATAAAATTTTGTAGTGTTATAAGTCTTATCCACTTGCCTTCCACAAATATTATGTCTAAATTCATTAGAGTCAATTTTCGCTCCAATAATTGCCACGTGCGTTTAAGTGCATCGGTACGTTCATAGGTGCTTTGTACCTAAAACAACAAAAAAACATTATTTTCATTAATAAATCAGGTGGAAGAGAGTGTGTTGAAAGTGAAGCAGCTAAAGGGCAGATGCTTATATACGCCTGCATGAACTGCCAATGTACTGAGAGCATGCGTTCATAACCACCTGGTTGGATATGGGCCCATGAGGGTGATGGAGCTCCAATCTGACAGTTGGGCGACTTCATACAAACACAAATGAAAAATCGAGTAGTTGCCAACCTTTAAGGCAATCCGATTGCATTAAATTAATAAATTTCAGTTTATTGCATTTCGAATCTAACTATTTTAAAATTGTACTGTATAAATCTAATAACTTTCTTTAAAAAACATATGAGTTCAGTATTGTATATTCTAAATAAATTTTTTATAATATCTAAATTATACCCTGAGTATGTATGTAATAAATATGGTAAAGCATTTGTTTTTTAGAAGTATCCTTTTAAAATTGATGGGCTTTTGAATTATTTTTTCCAGTTTCAAAACTTGTTACTCACCTGGTAGACAATTGCTGCTGTTTTGTTATATTGCTTCCTTTCCCACTTAATGAAAAGTTTATCATATAGTTCCTTGATTTTTCCAATTTTATTGAAAAATTTCTCATTCAAATTATTTAAAATATCGTTCCTAACAATGAACTCCTGTATGACCATAGATTGTATTTTAAGTCGCAGTGCCTCTTTTATAATGGAACTGGAACTTTTGAACTTAAAGGACTTAAATATTGAATGTTCATTAATATCCTTTACAAAATTTGCATCAATATCGGTAGCCACACGAGGATAGTATTGTTTGTTTTCATAACCTACAAGAGTTTCAGTAACATCAGTAGTAGGCACTTCCAGACGAACGCGTAAGTTATTTCTCAGCCGTGTGTTAAATGTATATATATTATCATAAGGAGCGACAAGTTCTCGTTGATTTTGTCTTTGTCCAGAAAATGGCATTGTTTTGTAAGGATTATTTTTTTCAATTTCATAATTAATTGGTTTGAAGTAAAATCGTGAATGTTGTAGTTCTTCAAATGGCACTAGCGATTTTCGTATATAATCCAAAGGCAGTTTTGTGTCTCCCTGCATAATGAGAAAGCTTCCGCTGTCATTAGTGAAATTTGTGCATTCCGAACTTTCTAGTGAAGACATGCAAGACTCAATA